GTTCACCACTGGAGACAGACACTCCCCAGGGCCAAAGCAGGGCAGCAAAGAGGTCACTGCGTGTGTCCGACCAGACCATCTGTTAACCCCAAACACCTGTTTTGGTCAATGTGGCTTCTGCTAATGGACCTATGTAGATGGACCAAATGCTCCAGGAGCTGGAGTCGAAAGCGTGCCTGGCTTCTGAGCTGTTTGTTTTGCACGTTCCTTGTTGGATCGCCTCACAGTGAGCTCTCCAGGCTGCGAACGCATCTCCTGTTCACCTTGTCTGTTCATCTTTACTGTTTGCTCTTTCTTTGAAAAGCACCCACACACTCCATAGCCTTTCTTGGGGTTCTTTAGAAGCCAAAATCCCTGTCTTCAACTGTGGTGGAAATCTCGTTCTTGATGTCGCAGTCTAGTCCTTCAACTAGAACGTGGTGCTTGCAGCCTAGTAAACCCTTCTCTTTGAACACCACCCACCCCCAGGTTCATTGCCCGGACAGTGACAGTGATGCGGGTTACCCTGCGTAGCCCCCAGGCAGGGGAGAAGGACAGAGTGGACTGGAGCCAGCGCAGGAAGCAGCAGGAACATAGCAAAGTGTCTTCCCGGCACCACAGCACCTGTGCTTGGGGAGTGCCATTCGCTCCCAGAGCACCTGTCGAAGTAGTGCAGGGCCCTGCCTGACGCTCAGCAGGAAAATGGTGTTTGGAGCCAGGTCTCCGAAAGGAAAGAGAAACAGTATGCCCCACAGTCAGACCCAGGAGGGTTGGGGTGTGCAGAAAACAATCTCTAAAAGAAATACACAGCACCTCTTGTCTTTAAGAGAACGGCTAGCAGTGAAAACCTAGGTGTGATTGAAATATACCTGAATCCTGTTCATTTAAACTATTTTCTCCATTGGAGGCAGCCGTTTTCCTAGGGAACAGACCCAGCAGTCACCTCAAAACTGGAGGTTTTCCACCCTGCCTTTGCCCAGCCCAGCCCCACGCAATGAACCCCATTAGTGCCCAGACTTCGAAAGCACATGACTAACCAACCTGAATACTGCTGCCCTGATGTTGGCAGAATATCCATCGGTATTAACCAAGCTTGGAATGCCCTGAGCACTCACCCACACTTGAGGCTCTGAATGCTGGCCCGCCCCTCCCTGGGCATGGAGCAACGTGGCTGCTGTGGTCATGAAGCTGTGCCCTCTCTTCCGCCACAGGTGATATCCGCAACGACCTCTACCTGACCCTGGAGAAGGGGGATTTTGAGAGAGGGGGAAAGAGCGTGCAAAAGAATATCGAAGTCACCATGTATGTGCTCTACGCAGACGGAGAAATCTTAAAGGTGAGGCAAACCCGTCCTCTGGAATCAGAGCAGACCCTGGAAGAACCCAGCTCTTCCGTGGCCTTTGTCCGGAAGCCCAGGCCCCTCTGGCAAGATGGAGCTCAGATCCCCTGTTCTGCTCAGCCTTTTCCTTCTGCGGAGGGCTACCTAACCCCAGTGCCCACCTGGTTAGTTAGGGAAGGTAAAGGTGAGTGGGTGACGTCCTGTGCAGGTGACTCCTCCAAGGAGCTCCCGGTCTCCTTTCTAGGATCAGGAGCCTGCATCAGTGATTAGTGCAGCCTCCCTTCCTTCTGGTTTGTTGAATGGGGGTAGGGGTGGGGGTTCCTCTGCCCAGAGGGAAACTAACAAGCAGCCTGCCAGCTCATTGGGGGACCATCTCCACAGTTGTTGCCAAAGGGTGACATTTAAACCACATGACTTTTCTCACCACGTGCACCGGGCTGGTGAGACAGTGAGACCTGGACTGCTTACGGGAACAAAGTCCAGCGCCCTAGTTGCCCAGAATTCAAAGGGCTCCCGGCAGAGGAGGACTGGGGGCCTTTGCGTTTCTGTTGCAGGACTGCATCAGCTTGGGGTCGGGAGAGCCCAATAGGAGCTCCTACCACTCCTTCGTCCTCTACCACAGTAACAGCCCTCGCTGGGGGGAGATCATCAAACTGCCCATCCCCATCGACCGTTTCCGCGGCTCCCATCTGCGCTTCGAGTTCAGACATTGTTCCAGTGAGTGAGGCGCCCCTGCTCTCTCCAGGGCTGGGGTATCCTTCTTTCCTCCCCTCTCCTCTCCTCTCATCTTCTCTCCTCCCCTCTCCTCCCCTCTCC